CAAACATATGTTTAATGAACTAACAGACAGTCGGAACGCCAATATCTAGCTGGCGCGTCTCCAAAATAAATACGAATCAAACGTCTTTCGCACAAAACGGAATAAACATCATAAATTCATGGAACAACAAGCAAGCATGGTGTTCATAACGCTATGTATAGACGACCATGGCTTTGGCCTTTCTGTAATCATAGTACAAATATACAGCATTTCAAAGTACCCCTATCTATCCAATCCCTACATTTGATTTCCAACCTTATGTCAAAACGGTAAAGTTGAAATTCCTGTAAAGACAGTTGATAGTTTTGTATAGTGTTACGTGCGGTTGTTTGTATGTTTTTCTAGTTATTGGAAAGTAATTACTGTTACGGGTATAGTGGTGGTTTTATTGACGTAATGCTCTTGTTCTAGTCAAGTATTTTATTATCTATGCATCTATGCATGTATAAATACAGTGTGTAAGGTTGTTCCATATGTTTGATAGAGATGGAGGAAAGTAAGATCAAATTAGACAGCAACAGTTACGACGACGACGATACAGTGGACAGCAGGCCTTAAATTACTACGAATTGTGATCATTCAACATACATCAGACATACTAAAACTAAAATCGCGGGTTACTAACGTACGTGAAAAGCTCTAATAGTTTCGAACCACAGAGGAGTTCTTCCTCATGAGCAGCGGCGCTCGCACCGGTGTTGCTACTTGCGCTGCGAACCCAACGCGCCCTCTGCCGGACACCACGAGCGTTTGCTTCCAACTCCGGCGGCGCGCGGCGCTGTGGACGATGTTGAAGCGCACGGTATGTTCACCAGCGGCGCGGGTAGTGGGTTCGATTCCGGGTTCGGCACAAAGTCAGTGTTGTCGTGCGCAAAACCCCTCAGTATATTCACGTATTTTAGGATTTTGTAAAATGTTATTCAATTTGTTTCCAACGAATTATTATCAGTAATTGAATATCGAAAAAGGGTAAGTAATATACAGAGTGCAAACGGAACGAAAAACACCGACAGGTGATGTTCAACAATAGGTTTTATTTTCATAAAGGTAAGGCGTTAAACGTCTTCCATGTAATAATAGTGTAATCAACCGCTTAAGGCTGATGTTGCTTAAATAACAAGTACCTACTTAAACCAAAACGAATAGAATTTAAAAACATTTTTTTTGTCAAAAAAAGTCTGGAGTCTGGAATTGTGCCCGGTATATGGCAATAGGCTCACCCCCTATTACATGGGACTCATAACATAAATAGTGGAAAGTGGGTGTTACATTGTACAGTTGCATTAAGTGCCGTATAATATGCACCTCTGCCTACCCCTTCGAGGATAATGTTGATGATGAATGATGTTATGTTTTTTTTGTCAGCGTTTCGTTTCCACCCTGTATCTAAGTTCAGTAACATATTCAGCAGCAACAAACATTAGAGACTTTTTTCCATCTTTGGCAACCGAGTCTCCAAAACGGTGTTGTCGACTATACTGCCAGTGTCGAGTGGTGACGGCAAAATTAGTGAACCGTCGAACTTAACTTTGCGGTAGTTAACATTAGAGATGACTTATTAAACCTCCTTTTGACATTTACATCTACTGATATATAATCATAGTTACATTAATAACATAATGTTTAAATAACAAGTAATTTTCACTAGTGTCGTCACATGTCAACTAAACACATATTGTTTGTTTGCGTCCTCGATTTACACCCTCACGTCATGATCGTAATGTCAGTTGCTAACCTCACTAAGGCCTAGGGCACACTACGGTTAAACTTAAGCGGTTTTTAACCTCATGAGTATATAAATCGAGAAAATAAATAGGTACAAGTTATTTTTTTTAAAGGCGTAAATCATCGAATGACTGCTCCCGCCTAGATGAGGCGGGAGGGAGCGTCAGACTCTTACTGACTAAAAACCATCCCGTTCCTTCTCCTGCACATCGAGCCGGAGCCCCGGTAACTCGTTAGGTTCTCTGCGACAGGTACAAGTTATTTGCAATTTTCGCTGCGACTGATTTTAAAACTGACTGCTTCGTTGGCCGAGTGGTCGTAAATGCGACTGCCAGGGAAGAGGTCTCGAGTTCGATTCCCGGATTGGGCAAAGTATTATTGGGTTTTTAAAAAGTTCTCAATAGTAGCACGGAGTCTGGAAATATGCCCAGTATATGGCAATAGGCTCATGGGACATGGGACTCATAACATAAATAGTGAAAAGTGGGTGTTACATTGTACAGTGGTTTTAAGTACCGTAATGTGCACCTCTGCCTACCCCTTCGGGGATAAAAGGCATGATGATATATTAAATGTGATTTTTAAAACGTGCAATATTATCACAAAAAAATGTTGAATATTTTGTAATTCAATAGCAACTCAGTGGGCAGACTTACCAGAGAGAACAACGGGTGGTTCCGCGGTTTTTATTAAGCATGGTTCACGTATCTCGAGCGGTTTCGCGGTTGGCACGGTTAACCGCTATCCGGGAAAGAACCAGTGTGGTCTAACCCTCACTCAAGTATACATAATTATGAGGTGGTATAGTTTATGTTATTTATATTGCTAGGTACATCAACGATTGTTGATCACAGACTTGTAAATTAACATTGCAAGTAAATAATTTATGAATTTCACGACATCTTCCTGTGTTTACTTATAACATAATATTGTGTCACGCCTCTTTTACCACGAAAGAAGTTGGTGGCTTCGTCATCAACTTATTTTCATACACCACTGGACAGTGGACATTGGCCCCTCAATAACATACTTGATTCAAAAAAGCAGTTACTTTAGTCTTCGGACATTTAAAGCATTAGAAGTGTTCCACCTAACGTACTCTGTAAATAGGTATCTATATTTTATTGTGGGATTAGCCGGTAAACGAACAGACAGATCACCTGATGGTAAGCAATCGGTGTCGCCTATGGACACGTGAAACATCAGAAGCGTTAAAAGTGCGTTATTGGCCTTTTGGGGATTAGGAATTTGAGGATTGTTGGGGATTCAGGGATCAGGGAGAGTGGATAATGGGGGGATTGGGCCTCCAGTAACCTCACTCACACGATGAAACACAACACAAGCGTAGTTTCACATCAGTTCTCTATGAGGCCGTGGTATCGCTCCGGTCGGAGCCAGCCTTTTCGTACCGAAACATGGCTCTCCTACACTTAAATTATAAATCTATAAAAGAAAACAACATTTCCAGTCAATTACAATAAGAATTCCATATTATAACTAAGAATTAAACTATCATGTAATTGTAAAACCAATTTTTTATCTAGTTTAACTTTATAAAGTGATATAGTTCTCACTCAAATAGTCATGCATGAATTTACACTTAATCAGTAGCAGGTAATTAAAATAACGCCTATATGCCTAGATACCTAAGTCCTTAGTACATAGTTAACTTTATTACCCAATGACCGTCATTTCGAGGCAAACAAAACTATTAAAGGCTGCATTTTTAATGTCTTGAATGTCTAGCAATGACAAATGAAAATACATTTAAATGATAATTTGACACCTAGACGTTACGGTAATCACTGCGAGGACCGCCCTGAGGACACGGTGGAATGTTGTTGAATGCGGAATGCCCTGCGTGGGCTGAGCACCGCCGTGCCCTCAGGGAAGTGATCGGCGATGGCGACCTCTCGCGTCCGGGCCTAGTGCAGGCCATGATGCGGAGCGAGGGGGACTGGGATGCCGTCTCCTCCTTTTGCGAAGCAGTCATGCTAGCTAAGGAGGAGGCGGGACGTGTGAGGCAGCGAAGCGCTGCCTTCTCGCAACCCAGCCATCGCGAAGGACACACCGGGCGTCGGGGATCGCGGGACGATCTCCGGCCACCGTAAGCGCGGGACTGCGGACGGCGAGCATGGGTGGCTCCCCGTCCGACCAGAAACAGACCCGAGCGTACGGCGCGTAGCGTTCCGCGCGCGCCTCAAAGAGCCATCAGACCACCACAGATGGGGCCCAATAGGGCCGATGCCGATTCGGAGTCGCGGAGAACCTAACGGTTAACCGGGGCTCCGGCTCAGCGTGCAGGAGAAGGAACGGGGTGGTTTTTAGTCAGTAAGAGTCTGACACTCCCTTCCGCCTCACCCAGGCGGGAGGAGTCATTCGATGATTTTACCCCCTTAAAAAAAAAAAACGTTATGGTAAGCTCAAAGGAGACAGTGGGCCGAACTGGACATCTAGGATTGGCGGCAAAAAGCTTTATATAGAGAGGAGTGGAAGGAGGATAGCCTAGCCTAGAGCCTTTGCCCTGCAGTGGGACGATCATGGCTGAAAATAAATAATAATAATAACAGTTTTAACAGATTTCCCAAAAAGTAGATAACCATCTATCAATTCGGCCGGTATGTTTTTTCATTAATCGGTAAATAATCAGTTTCTGACCTGTCCTTATCCCAACTTTTTAGTGATCCTGAGAGGACAAATGGAGAAAGCTACCAACTCAATAAAAAAAAACATTTTTTCCTTATTTTTGTTAACTATAAAACGATTTCTCGCTATAGATAAAATTCTTATTATAATAAACATAACATAACAGTACATTATGTGTTTTTAATATGGGTAATATGAACTACAGAATAATAAACCTACAGGAAAAACCTCATTACGAATATAGAACAAAATAATATCTGGAAGTTTCTTTCATTTTATGAATGGCTACGGGCTACGGTCAACAAGTTGTCAATATTCGTAGGTGCTACGGTCAAGGTTCGACGTGCTACGCCGTAGCAACGCAACCACTTATTGAGAAACGCGTCAGAACCTCGAGTGACGTAGGACTACGAGATTTTTTTTATACCGAAATTTGGCGAACATTTTTCTGTGTTTACAAAGTATGTGAAATGAAAATAATACCACAATTTATTAGTTGTACCTGTTTTTTACATTTCTGTGGTTGTACCTGTCCCACAAGAGTGAATGACTGAACGTATCTAATTATAACTTTGATCTAAAATTACAATCTCATTGGCAACGATTCGCTAGTTGACACTGACATTAAACTTTATCAAGGTATCCGTCACATTTGTAATTTACCTTCGAAGAAAATCAAGTTTAAAATCATATGTAATAAGGTAAGCAAGATGGCTTACGTAGTATTCTTGTTTAGATAAAATGTCAAATGGAATTGTAATATTTGTTGTGTGTATGCTGTGTTCTTGAAAGTGCACGACAAAGGCTTCTGTCCGCTTCCAGTCGAGTTAATTAAAGATCTCTTCTCAACAGTTGAGCTTTGTGTCGCGAAGAAAATAGTGATAAATCGCGGGAAAAACTCTTTGCTCATCAGTTCGCGCGCAAACGCCGGCCAGCGCGCACGCGCCCATAGATAATAAAATAAAATGCGCGGCAAACCAATCGAAACATAGCTCGAATCAAGTGCCTTTAAGTTTTTTAGACAAATAATGTGATAGTAATTAATAAGTGAAAATTATTCCCTGTGATACTGTGTACAGACTTTTATTTACTAGAAAAAGTGCAATTAAACAACAATGGCGGACGAGAAGTGAGTATTTTTGTGTTATTCATAATATTAATGTGCGATCATTGACCCTATTTCTTTCTAATTTTGAATTTGCTTCGTAAACAAATTTTGGAAAATATTTGGCACGGTTGTATCCAAGCTATATGTTGTTCATTTTAAAATTATTTCTATAATTATTATGTTTTTATTATCTTGTAATATTGTCGGGTAGAATGTGTAAACTCACGTATCTATTGCAGCGATAATTCCTAGTCGTATAGCTACCTATGTAGGTATACTTACTGAGTACTGATACGTAAATAAACATGCCAACTCCGGTATTTATTATTTATGGTAAACTAGCTAGCCCGCGACTTCGTCCGCATAGTAATATGATTTCTGTTTTAACTCAATGGGAGCATTCAGTCGGGATAATTCGTGTAATATCCTATCTTATCACCTCACTCAGGCCATAGCCTGCCTGTATACCAAATTTCATCAACATCCGTTCAGTAGTCTCAGTGTGGTTGATGGACAAACATCTAAACAAAAAACTTTTAGTGTCTATGTATAGTCGCCTATATACCTACACATATCTCACATACCTTGCTTCGTATGTACATATGTGAGATAGATAATATAAAAATTGAACTATAATTAACTGAATTACTTAACTACACGATATAATTAGGTACATTAAGTCACATTTATCTTAAAAAACTATACTTACTTAGGTCTAATAAATTATTTTGATAAGAATACCGTTAATCATGAATAGACACCCACCTCGTAGTTACGTAAATTGTAAAAAAAATATATTTAAATAGACATTATTTTACGAAGACCTCATTAGAATACCTATAGTTAATTGTATAGAAAAAAAAACAATAAAAATACTAGAGGAGGGAGGAATTTATCAGGCCTATAGACTGGCAAAGAACTGTGACAGCAATTGATGTGATGTGTGATTTAGGAATTATCATCATCATAACATCATGCCTTTTATCCCCGAAGGGGTAGGCAGAGGTGCACGTAGAGGTAACACCCCCTATTTATGTTATGAGTCCCATATAATAGTGGGTGGGCCTTTTGCCATATACCGGGCATATTTCCAGATTCCGCCCTACTAATGAGAATTTTTTAAAACCCGGTAGTGCTTTGCCATTTGAAATCCAACCCGAAACCCCTTGCCCGGCAGTCGCACTTGTGACCACTCGTCCAACGAGGCAGCGATTTACGAGTTAATATAAGTAGTATCAGAATCTATTTATATCTTATCTAGGTATTAAAGGTCTAGGTATTAAAGGCTACCTCCTTGCCTAAGTAGGTAAGCTAAACACGAGAGCTATCAAAATACACACTCGTGCGCATCCACATTCTTGCATAATTTTAATATTATTGTTAAATTAATTCTATTCTAATTTTCTAAGCTTGTTTTTCTATTTCTGTATTTACTATATGGACATTTTATTTTGTATTTTAATTTCTGTATTAAGATTGTGTTTTAAATTTTGAAGTTTGTTTTTCTTCTTTCAAATGTCATTCAATATAGTTAATAGGGTAGATGACTAATTTTTATTTTAATGCCCATCTGGTAGATTATTTAAAAACATTAGACACGTATTTTTATTTACTTACGGAAACGAATAGTTTCGAAGATATATTGGTTTGAAATATCGCATGGCGTCACTTTTGAGTACGAAATATACTCTTAAAATGACGTAGCTACCACTCCTGAACACGTTTTATCTAAATACTGTTTTATTATACGACAAAATAAAAAAATACGTGTCTAATATTTTATCATTACCTAACTGACGGACTAATTAGATTTTTAATTTTCATACCCTGTCATTATCCTAATTATTATCCTTTTTATGATAGTCACATAATAGTACTTAAAATAGTAGATACATATTATTATTAATTCGTGCCCACTTTTAGGACCTAACCTTTTTCACAATGTATGATTAAGTTCTCTGTTAATTATCATATTACATCACAATAACAGCATATAAATGCCGATAAAAAGTCCTCTTCTCACACAAATAAGGTTTATTGAGTATTGCTATAAGTAATTTAGAAATTATAATCCAAAATTTCCGCAACCATGTTTTCCTTCCCCATAATACGTCCATGGTGTCTAAATGATCTTGCGTAGTGAATAATTTGATAAACTATTATGAATCACTTTGGCCGAGTGGTCGCAAGTGCGACTGCCGGGCAAGGGGTCTCGGGTTCGATTCCCGGGTCAGGCAAAGTATTACTAGGTTTTAAAAAAAATCTCAGTAGTAGCACGGAGTCTGGAATTGTGCCCGATATATGGCAATAGGCTCACCCCCTATTACATGAGACTCATAACATAAATAGTGAAAATTTGGTGTTACATTCTACATTGGCATAATGTGAACTTCAGCCTACCCCTTCGGGGATAAAAGGCGTGATGTTATGTTATGCTATTATGAATTGAAGCTCTTTTAGTTGCCATGTGCAAACCTAGTTCAGGCACATGGCATAACATAGCAATAAGAATATAGAATTAAGACATACGAAATTCTGTTTATATTTTTTGAATAAATGATTTATTATTATTTATTTAATATGTGACTTTTGTATGCTAATTAATAATACGAACAAGAATAAAGAATACAGTCCTTCCTACCATCTATTTGTGTCCTATATTCATATGCATCGTACATTACCTAATTAACATGCAAAACTCGCATGATTGCACTTATCAGCTATTATCACATATAAATAAAACAGTTCACGCTGGTCTAGTCTGTTTGTAGTGATAATTATTTTGTACACAATAATCATATTGTGCTATTTGTAATGAAGTACCTCACCATCTCGAAAGAAGATGGTTGTTTGTGAATTTAGTTGGTGTTTTTTTGTATCACTGCCTCGTTGGCCGAGTGGTTGCAAGTGCGACTGCCGGTCAAGGGGTCTCGGGTTCGATTCCCGGGTCGGGCGAAGTACTACTGGGTTTTTATAAATTCTCAGTAGTAGCACGGAGTCTGGAATTGTGCCCGGTATATTACAATAGGCTCACCCCCTATTACATGGGACTCATAACATAAATAGTGAAAAGTGGGTGTTACATTGTACAGTGGCATAATGTACACCTCTGCCTACCCCTTCGGGGATAAAAGGCGTGATGTTATGTTTTTTGTATCATAGATTGTAGTATATTTAATTTAGTATTTGCAGGTACCGCCATTGATTTTGATAATAATAGAATGTATTTTTTTGCTCTTTTATTATAAATGCTAACCAAGTGATCGGTCTGTACTAAGAGGAGTCGAATGATTGAGAAAATGAAAGTTTGTTAAACTTCAACATGAACGGTGCTTACAGAGCGTTTACCATTAAGAACTGTTAGATATCAGGGTTTACTGAAACATATAAACTGAAATTAGGTACTTACACCCGACTCGATATTTATCGATCACAATATTTTATTATAAGGAACATGTTTCATAAAATCCGCCCAACGACTGGTTGCATAGGTGTTACCGTATCACATCACTGCCAAAAGCACCACTGCCATCATTTGCTCTGTAATTTATTAGACAACCACTATTAATTTAATACATTACCTACACCACAGTGGGCAGTTCTTCAAAAGTTATTAAAATAGAATACATACTTCTTAAAATACAACAATATCTAATTGCCTATTGAACATTGTAATTTTATGTTGATTAATATATTTACTAGTAACGTATTAGGTACAGCTAACAGCTAAACATAACATAACATCACGCCTTTTATTCCCGAAGGGGTAGGCAGAGGTGCACATTATACCACTGTACAATGTAACACCCACTTTTCACTTATATTTATGTTATGAGTCCCATTTAATGGGGGGTGAGTCTATTGCCATATACCGGGCACGATTCCAGATTGCGTTGTATTACTGAGAATATTAAAAAAAACCCAGTAATACTTTGCCGGACCCGGGAATCGAACCCGAGACCCCTTACCCGGCAGTCGCACTTACGACCACTCGGCCAACGAGGCAGTCTCTCATTTCTTTAATGATAGTGCTATTTATTACGGTGTCACAATTTACGTTGACTGATTACCACTTACTAGGGGACCCATACGCTGTGTTACTACTGATAGTAGTAAGAAATGATCCCTACCGATTTGTCCTCGAAAATTATACTTGGAGCATATCTCACTGTGAGTAATGATAATGTGTCAATGACTTTTAACTTACTGATAAGTTACATTGACCCGCCCAAGGCCTGCTATATTAAACCCTTTTTCTCTGTAGTTTGTAATGGTCTACCTACATTGTCAGGACTTGAAGACATTGGATATTGTATTGTGATAGATACTAAAACCTTACACCTTGCTTGCAAACGTTTAGCTTATATTTAATTATTTTTCATTAGTTATTGTGAATTTTAAAGTTATAGATCAGGGATATTATGGTAATGAAATTTCGGATACGGATATAGAAATGATTATTATACTGGATACAGTTACGGATACGGATATGAAATATTTTCGGATTATCCGTTAGTTTCGGATAATTTCGGTTACGGATATTAATAATGATAATTAGTAATAATCCAATAGTATCCGAAACTTTTATTTAGGACTCGGTTACGGTTAATAATATTTTTTATATCGGATATCCGATAGTTTCGATTACGGGTACGGAGCTCCCTAACATCCCTGCTATCTACCTATCTAATTTGTCCAAAAAGATTTGAGAATGCAATATTTTCAAGTTGAACTACCAGTTACAATTTCAACGTACAATTTAAATAAACAAACTCCTTTCGATAAACTAGTATAAATAATTTAGATAATACACTTAAATTACATAATCCACGCGAACTTTTAACAGTGTAAACAACTGAGAGATTACCTAATAATTTATGCAAAGATACATTGTTTTTGAACACACACAGTTTGAACTATAGCCGTGTTATCACCATGTGTGTCAAATTGATAACTTGGACACAAACAATCACCTACTGTTAGTTCATATATCTGTTTCTTTGTACACACGACTACACATC